GAAGACGTATCCTCTTTGCTTCTGATTCTTCCTTTCTCATCCCTTTGTGATCTCTTTTCCCAAAATTAGGGATATTAGCTTGATCCAGACGCCTTCTTTTTGATGATCTTGCTGTTGTATGGTATTCCCTGAGTTTGTTTAGGCAATATGCAAAGTTTTCGCTGATCCTGCCTTCTTCAAGTCTCCTGTTCATTAGATTTTTCTCATTCTGTACATCGATGGTCTCTCGGATCCTGCGTTTTCTCGTATTTTCACCAATAGATTTCGTGCTCCGTTCGTGCAATGTGTTCACCTATTTCCGATCTTTACGTATCCATATTCCTGCAGATTCTTTGATGTTCCTTGATTCGTAGAACGATTTTTCTTCCTGTTTCTCCAACATACTTCTGCTCACAGTTGCCGTATTTGATGCGATAAACTCCCGAGCAATCAAGTTTGTCCGTCTTCTCGTGTTGCGTCGGCAGACTGGTGAAAAGTGTTGTCTTCTTCTTTGTTATCACCCTGATGTTACATTTCCTTAGTAACAGTCGCAATTGTTGGCTCAGTTGTGACGAGGGCAGGCAAATCCATCTCTGGTCGTCCTCCTGATTCCTGATCTGATTTTCATAAAATCCAAGTTGAAATCGGCTCTTTATAATCTCTACATTTTTATATATAAATTCTCTGAAGTGCCCGTTGCTAAGGCAAATCCTTGTCAGTTTGTCCAACTATTCGTCCCAGAGCTCAATGTCCGTTAGTCGTAAGCTTCTGATTATCAAACTTCTCAGTATTCCGATCTTCAGTCTGCAGTTGTGGTGAATTCCTACTGTATAGTCTTATCATGAGTGTCCCGTTGGAGCGCATGACTGCACTATCAAGAAAGGGCAGTCGTTCAGTCTCCTCCACCTCCATTATGAATTTAATTCTTTCATCAATTTGGTTATTGAAATTGAGAAATTCGCTTAAATTTTCCTTACCATGTGACCAAAGTGCAAAGTAGTCATCCAAGTATCACATGAGCACTCTTTTGGTTGCAGCGGTGACTTCTCGAATTCTTTTTCCAACTTGTCCATGTACACATTTGCCAAAAGAGGTGATCCAAAGATACGGCCGTTAAATGTGAAATATGTTGTCGTAACTGTCAGGTTGATCCGTCGTGTTAACGATTCTTTCTGTATTCGTTCTACCTCCAGAATATCCTCTTCTCGATCCAATATCTCCAGCCAGGCGCTTATCGCCTTCTCATCTGAGATGTTTGTGTACATGAATTGTACATCGAACGTCACCAACAGCTCCGACCCCACTAACCCAAATTTCTGGATCCTTTGAGAAAATTCATAAGAATTCTTGACAGTATACAAGAGTCTGTTATTTACTTTCTTGAGCTTCAAGCAAATGAATTTCGCTAGTTTGTGTATTACTAGTCTTAGTGGATTTCCTTGGTTGTGTATCTTCTGTGAACCGTAAGCTGTCGGTGGCCTTGCGTTATTTTTGATTAAAGATTTAAGTGATTTGGTTAGTTACGGTCATATGTCAACTTCGAAGCCTGTGAGTGTG